AAATCTTTAAAAAAAAAAAAAAAAAAGAGTTGAGAACCTAAAATCATTTAGGAGATGTGCTAAAATTTGGGAATCAATGTGACCTGTGAAAACCTAGAGATCCAATTTGAAAGGTACTCACCTGAAGGGAACAGTGTCTGGACTGGAGGTTAGGTCTCACTCACATACTGCCTCAGGGCAGGAATGCTGGTTTAGGGGAAGGAAATAAGAACACAGACCAGGAACCGGGATGCTCTTTCAGCATCTTTGGCCTCCAGCCAAGACATGACCCATGACATTTCTGGCTAAGAACAAGAATAGAACAGCTGTTTAGGGGTCTCTGCCCTGAACTGTATGACCCATCTCATATCCTCGTTACCATGGCTCTGGAAAATATGGTCTGTATTGTGAGGAGGTGAGAGTACTTGTATGAACTGTGGTGGTAATCTAGACAGGATCAGGTGGGCATCCCAAGGCCTCAGAAGTACTGGGACCAGAAATGGCTCTGAGAGAGAGTGACTCTAAGAACCACAGCCTAGAAGAATGCTGAGGTCACTGGGAGGTGTTCTCTGTAGGTCAGGAGCCAGAAGTGTTTTGAGGGACTCCGTGTTAGGTGGTGGGCATGGAAATTCCTGCTGGAGTTGTGGGTCAGGCCTCCAGGGCCAGTTGTTAGTGGACGAACCCCAGGCCAACTCGTTCCCACCCCCCCCCCAAGAAGTGTAACCACTTTGTTGGTGAACAGCCCTAGCCAGCTAGCTCTGGCATAGGAACCACAGTTGCTGTGAGTTCATGAGTGCAATGGCCCCGTTGTTTCTAGAAGGCCCTTGTTACACAACATTCCACACCAACCTCTGGCTCTTATAGTCTTTCTGTCCCCTCTTCTGTGACATTCCCGGAGCTATGTTAGGAGGGGAATGATATGAAGGACCTATTTTGGCCTGAGTAACTCCGCAATTACTCAGGGCTGAGAGCTACACTAATCTATGGATATAAAGATATGCGTTCAGGAGGCAGTTTAATTCTAAGTTCATTGAACTGGAGAATCTACTACTATTATTTAAGACATGGCTGGCCTGGAATTGTGTAGCCAAGGATGACCTTGAACTTCTGATCCTCCTACTTCTACCTTGTCGGTGTTGAGATTCCAGGCCTGGGCTACCGTGCCCCATTTATGTGGTTATGAGGATTAAAGACCCAGTTTCAGGTATTCTACCTGAGCTGCAGCCACACCCACCACAGCCACTTTAATCCCCAGGTCCTTAGCTTCTTTCTAATCGGGAAACATGGCTTCCGTGCTCAATGCTTGGTTATTTGTTTCTGTCAAATTGTCTTTGCATAGTTTTATTCTCCTTTCAATTCACATGAGTTTTTGTTTTGTTTTTTTGAGACGACTGTGTAATTCTAGTTGGCCTGAAAGTCTAGTTGGCCTGAAATGTGTCAATCAGGCCGGCCTCCAACTCATTGACATCCGCCAGCATCTGCCTCCTGAGTGCTGGGGTAAAGGCATTCACCATCATATTCATTGAGTATCGGTTTGTTTTGGGTTTTGTTTTTTTAATTAATTTTTATTTTATGTGCATTTGTGTTTTGTCTTCATGCATGTCTGTGTGAGGGTGTCAGATCTTGGAGTTATAGATAGATGTGAGCTGCTGCATGGGTACTGGGAATTGAACCCGGGTCCTCTGGAAGAGCAGTCAGTGCCCTTAACTGCTGAGCCATCTCTCCAGCCCTTGTTTGTTTTGTTTTAAAAATAGACCTTTCATGTAATGTTTGAGACAAATATTTGCCCCAAGGAATGATTGTGTATTTTGGATAGAGTCTGATTACTTTACCAAAGCTAACCTTGGACTTGAATAATTTTACCACAGCTTACCTAGTATTGGGATTACAGGTGTGCCCGACTGTGCCTAAATCAAAATTAGTCTCTTATATATTAATATGACCCCCCCACCCAGTTTCATTAAAACAACTGGATCTCTGTACCTTTGCATTTCTTTTCTTTCTTTCTTTCTTTTTTTTTAATGGTTTTTGTTTTTGTGAGACAGGGTTTCTCTGTGTAGCCCTGGCTGTCCTGGAACTCACTCTGTAGACTAGGCTAGCCTCGAACTCAGAGATCCAACTGCTTCTGCCTCCTGAGTGCTGGGAGTAAAGACCTGTGCCACCACCGCCTGGTTAATCCTTTACATTTCTGGTAGAGAAAATTTATTTCCAGGCAGGCCTGGTTGTGTATGTGGAAAGTGGAAACAAAAGGATCAGGAGCTAGCCTGGGCTGCATGATACCTTTTCCAAAAAAACAGAACATAAATCAAGCTAATGGTGGTGACATATGCCTAAAATCCCAGTACTTAGGAGACAGAGACAGGAAGATTACTGCTAGCTGGAGACAGGCCTGTTTTACATAGTGAAACCCAGGCCTGTTAGGGTTACATAGCAAGACCCTATCTTGACAAATATATAAACAAATAAGAAATCAATAAGAAAATCTGCTTCTAAGCTGAGCAGTGGTGGTACATGCCTTTACTCCCAGCACTCATGAGTTAGGCAGATCTCTGAGATCGAATCCAGCTTGGTCTACAGAGTGAGTTCCAGGACAGCCAGGACTATACAAGGAAATCATGTCTCAA